TAAAGTACTACGTTGATCGTGAAAGGATCGTCCATAAATCTTCCTATGGCTGGAACATTTTTATTTGCATAAACACATTTTTATATGACAGCAGCACACAAAGCACACCATTAAATCATTCCACACATTTGAATTGACGAAATCCCGCCGATTGGCATTCCTACCAGCATATGATCCGATAATTACTGTCATTATAGTCATATTACAGCATCAAACATATAATTATTAAATTTGGCTGTGGACGAATCGTTTTATTTGTTCTGTGGCCTGCTAGTTAGTCCATCATACACTGCATACGCGTGTGCATGTCACAGCAAGCCATGATGAACCAGAAGGCAAAATAATAAATAATTTAAGCGACGGAGGCGTCATAGCTGTCTATGGTCGGTGAATATCTCCTGAACAAGCACAGCGTCTGTTGCATCTTATTTCTGATCTGCGTTTCGTCATTCATGGTGCAGACTACAGAGCAGCATTTCAAAAGTAAGTTGTAAATCCAGTGTGTGTTTTTAATTACCCTTTAAAAACAAGTTCAGCATATTGTAGTGGCAATAAAGAATTCTCACGATAAAGCGCGAGCGGAACGCCGAACGCTAATCGTTAATCAGATGCATATATTAATATACAGTACGGAACGAGTATCAACGGGAAACGCAAAAGATGTGCTCCAGATTTCAAGCAAATTGAAAAAAAATATATTATTTTTTTATTACCATTTTCTATCGATCATGGGTTCGTAAAAAGTATATAGTTGTTGTATTCTTTTTATTACTTTACAGCTCTAATCACATATAGTAGTGTCACTTCCCTTCGTAGAACCAAAGTGCGTTGAGGAAGAGACAAGGAGGAAAGCTACATAAAACCATAGTGTGACTTTTTTTTTCAAACGTATACGATGGAATGAGCGATCGTAAATCAAGAGCTTCGAATCACTGACGAGCACGCTTTCGCCCGGTTGATGATTGTGTGCTTCGAAGCAATTGAAGGGAAGAATCTTGGAACAGCCGACGGCTACGTTATCGGTATCGTGTGGTGGGAGAAATCAATCCATAGGTATTTTATTGGCTGGGAAATTACCATATTTTTTATTGATGCTAATAATTGCCAATATTTAATATGCACATATGAATCATTTTGTCGCTTCATCGTGGTTCCCTTTTAATCTAATTCTAGTAAACTAATCAGATTTTTTTTATCAAAGCACGCATTTGCAGCGCACGATGGAAGCAAAAACTATGGCATAATTTAAAACTCAAAGCTTAAACTTTAAATCATGTGTAATAGAATGATTGATTTGAATTGATTGTTTAAGAGCTAAAACGCTATCTTGCATGTCTGTGTGGTTGGCATGCATTTAAATTTCAAAAAGCAGAACCAGGAAGGAAAGAAGAAGGTGCAACATGTGGTTTATCTTAGAAATCTTTGAATTTTACCTGTTCAAAAATTCAAATGGATAATAAAACAAACTATCCATTCGCTTACTGTTCCTTAAATGAACTGCTTATTATCTGATTCACATTTTCACTGGGTCTGGAGGTTCTTGGAGCCATTAAGATGAAAAATGACACGTGAAGTTGAGTGCTAAAATTATCATTCGTACTGATACAAAAATAGAAGGCAAATTATGAAAACACGATAACGAGTACATGAAATGATGAACTGTTACAGACCATAAAATAAAACACCACGGATGAGTTTCCATTTCGCACGAGGGAGATTACCCATAGCAACACAATGATCCCGCGCACAACTGCTTGGCGCATCCCGACACACTGGGAAATACTAGTAGAATTGGCTAAAACTCAAAGCGACAATTTCTGTATCATAATCGCTGCTTGATTTAATGTGACACTATTTAAGGTAGATTGAAATGAAATGAATGTAAACCCATAGTTAGATGTACAGATTTCAACGGAACAAAGTCACAAAAAGCAAAAAAGACTATGACGCTCTGTATGTCACGATTTCAAATTATAGTTCGTTTGGTTTAGAATTTCCAACACATACTTTACGCGTTGCTCGCAGTCGTCTGTCTGCCATTGCTGTTAGTGCTGATGCGGCCACTGCTGCTGCTGGTTTGCATGCTTGGTAATGTAATTTTCACTCGCTCGTCGTTCGTCGTGTATCCACCGCACCAAGTCATTTCGTGGTGTTCTCGCCCGATGAAGATGCTGGCCTGATGATAATGAATCCCTCACTTTTGCCTTCTTAGCTCCGCGCGATGATGCTTCATCTGTACATCATTTACCGTGCGCGAGAAAGCGAACCGAAAATATATACGCAGTCGAGCACAACATCAACACACCAACAAAACAAACCGAAACGAGAAAGGCAAGCAATGCGATCAATTCTCCTAGAAGGGATCCTTGTTGGAGGTTTGAGTACACTTGCAACTGTTTAAACTATAGTCACACGCACACAATACATAAATTAACATCAGATCACAATACTTTTTGCCTGCAGGCTTGTTCGAGAGCGATTCAAATGGTTTTACGTTTATGATGTGCGCAGCATAACTTCTGCGTTGCTGACACGGAATGATCTTCACCACGATTCTATTTTTGTGAAAATATTCGACTGCTCGCCCCTACTTGGAGAGCATGTCGCCGTTTCGAAGAATATAAAGAGGCGAAAAAACGAAACTGCCGCGCCGAATAATATTCGATGACGTCAGCCGTTAAAGATTCATTTTTTGACTTGTCAGAATAAGAATTTCGTTTTTAGATCTGTTGCAAATATAATTGGTGTTTAAGTTTATGTTTAATAATATTTTTTACAATAATCGGACTATTTGAGAGAAAATATCATTTATCAAGGCAAGCAAAAGGGTTGGACAAGAACTTTAGCATTTGACTTATTTTCAGAGTTAGGTATATACAGCATTTTAAAATTTTAGAAAAAAAAAATACTGGCTCCAGCGATTTACTGGGTGTGTGAAAACGTCTGTTACATTCAACAGAATCTCAACATTGAAAAGTTTTTTTCCATCCAGCATGAATGTAGGGAATAGTAGATGACGGTGAGGGTTGTGTGCAAGCGTGACTGGTCGTTGTGATTTTTCTAAGCAAGACAATTAAAGGCGTTTCTGCCGAGTCCACGAAAAATGTTGCGAAATGGATTCCGGTGGAAAGTAAACTAAAACAAAAAATTATAACAGGATAAATAGCAACAAAATAGGACACATTAGTTATATTGTAATTCCCAATAAAAAAAACCAAGCGGTTAAAATTCAAAAGAACAAAATTCAACCAATGCACGAATAGATATAGCCTCTGAAAGCATACTGCGAAACACAAAGTTCGCACATGACGAATATTATTTGCCTGCAGTGTTCAAAAATATCCCAAAGAATTGCAAATGAATACATTAAAATTGGCTCCCTCGATCGTCTTCTGCCACAATATTTTTGCATGGAACCGTACAATAACTTCTGTTCTGTGTGAGTTGGTACCTTTTTTTTTGCGCGCTACCTTGTGAATTTTTTATTTGCCATGCATGACGAAAGCTTTCGAGCAACGCAGCAAAACTCTTGGACTTGTTGTTTCTCTTTATTACTGACAAGGTTACGCTGTCTTGTTTCACACTGTGGGTGCTGACAAACTGCCCAAAATTAGTGTTTCACATCAGATAACAAACTAGCACGAATTTAATTTTCCAAAATATCTTCTGATTCACGCATATTGGAGATAAGAAAAAACAGCAAGAGTAAACCTAGACGAACGTTGTTATCACCGAGACTCGTAGAAATGTTGTCGCTATCAGTAATTTTATACACGGCTCTGCTACTATATTTTCGATAACGTTTTGACTAACCTAACAAACCTCGCCGAAGAGATAGCACTATCATTTCCAAAATCACAATTGTTCGCACTGAAGACTGTCGAAGCAAACAATATCTGTCCTATTGAGTTTGATTGATCGAAGGTTTTGAAGCTATGGGGATTTGTTTAGGAATCAAACGAGGCCTTACGGCGAAATCCCCAAAAGTCCAGCAGCCCGAATAACACCATTTATTGATAATCGGTAGGATTTGACGTAAAGTACAAAGTCACAGATTAATAGCAAAAGGCGCATTCTCTCTCTCCCTTATCTGATAATACATTCGACCCGCGCTACTGAAAAGTTAGTAAATGTGGTGATGGTTAGATAGGGTACCACACACTCGAACACAACGAAAAAGATAAACCTTCTAGCTCAATAATTGCTCGATACCAATATTATTAATAATTATAAACCTATCCATTAATTGCCAAACACAAAGTGAAACATAACGCAAGAATTTTTTTCCATAATTTTAATTTCAAACATACCAAATTATTATCATGTCAATTGAAATTATTGATATCAATTTTTTAACTAAAAACTCAAATTTTAACCTCAAGTTTGTTTCTTAAACAATTAACCATTCGATTGCGTTAGGCATGTTAAAAGTTAGAAGTTTATTAAAAGCCAAATTCCAGATTACTGGAATTAAACACGATTGAATTTGGCAACACTTGTAGTTTATTTATCCTCCATTGATACAATTGACATACAACCCTTCTCTCCAATTGCATACATTACGCGTTTTGTGCATCTTTCGACAAACGGTCGGTTGCGTTTCGTAACCATCTCCGCTACATTAATTGAGCAATAGCAGGGCTATGCTTAATAATCAGATTGAATGTAGTAATGACGGATGTAAGGTAAATAAGCAAACAGCTGTCATTTGATCAAGTTTAGAGTGCGCACCCTTCATAGCACTTCAACAGCTTTTCCGACTATATCAATCAAACCAACGAGCCAACTAAAATCAGCAAAATACGTCTTTTAAAATATCTGTACAAACATGTACAACTTGTGGACAAACAATCGAAAAATCGAAACGCTTCCTTATCAAACGGTGACCGTACCTTCAAATCGAAGCCAAATTATAGAATAAAAAAAACGTTGTTTACTGAACACACACGCTGAACAAATGCTAGATAAGTAAACGGTTTCCAATATCCAATTTGACTTACCTGTTTACTAAATACTGCCACATCCTCACTGAAGGAATCTGACGAACAGACATCACCACCCGCGACACCTGGTTCTCGCGGCGTACACGTTGCTAGTTCACATTTTTCGAATATTAGTGCCAATAGCGGGAATAGAGGGTGCCTGTAACAGGAAGAGAGAAAACATTGAAATCAATTAATCAAATTTTGACCCCCTGTACATTTTGGTGTGATTTGATTTTTACAGGAAGTCCAGGAAGTGGCCACCTTTACGCCTCTTGGAAAATAACTTGAATGGGACCCACGCGATACTGTAGATTCAACTTCGAATGAGAAAGACCGGTGAATACCAAAAGTGTAAGCAACGGAGAACCCTGATAAGAGCTAGTTATTTCATTTTTTGGAAGATAAGATCATACTACCGCGTAAGGTGACTGTTTGCTTGCTTTATTATTACTGTGGAATGCTTACTGTTGCTGCTGCTGCGGTAGCAAGCTTGTTGTGTCAACAAATAAAGTTTATTGTTCAATCTCGAAGCGATTGTACAATTTTCTCCGTCATTTTTATGATATTTGTTATTGACAGTGACGAGCTGATGTAGGAAAGTTTAATGACACTTACCACTTGACACAATCCAGAGCGCCACAATTTTTTTTATAAGAATGTACAAAACAAGCAAAAATTATAAAACTCATCTACCTACCAATGTCTTGCATTCATTGCAGGTAACATCGTCCATTTATGCATCAAATTTACCTTTGCCTATACTGCACAAGCTAGCCGGCCTCGGTTGCCATAACAACGCTCATCTATTTCGGGCCCGGTGTTGCTAGTGTCGGGCTCACATTTACTCTCAAACGAGATGAAATTTAAATTGAAATAAACAACCGACCTCAGTTTCGTGGTGGTAGATTTCCATAAGTTTCTTTGTTGAATGTGAACGAAATGTTCTGCTTGCACGAAAGCGGAGCACGCCATGTGAGACACTGCCGACGCCGGTATGCGTAAATATTTTGATAATGTCACTAAATATTATACTTTTACCAATTGTTTATATAGTTTTCTGGATGGTTTAGATGGTTGTTTAAGTAAGAGAGCCTTAGGCAAAAAAAAAGAGAGCAAGAAAGTAAGGACTTCCTCGATGTTCGTTAGCACTGACTGCCAACGCCACCAGAAATCACTAAAACTAGCGGAAGTATCTAAATAATGAAATAATATTCAAATACCGAACCGTCGGAGTACTGTATAAACATGCAACGGCGACAAAAAGCTCAACTCAAAAAATTGCAGTGGAAGTAAAACCAGATTGTGAGATCGACGGTCTACGGAGGATTTGGGAGACGGATTCTATTGTTATTTTGATGAACCAATGAAGATGGCTTGCAAAAAAAATAATCACAGTTTCTACATTTTTATGATGTAGGTATCCAAATATGTTTTCATGACACGCTATGGTCTGTTCTGTCAAATTCCCTCCACTTTCATTATATTGCCAATTCAGATAAAAAACATCATTGCAATTTGCAAATTGAACCTGAAATTAACGCAAAACTTACTGTCGGTGCCGGTGAAACATTTACATTTCTACATTCCAAAAATTTCGAAAAATGATATCAAAAATCCAGATTCTTCCTGATATTCTAGCAAAAACATGTTTTTTGTGCATTATGATGCCAAAAAGCTTGATATAAAATACCACAAAACCAGACCTTACGATTTTGTTTTTTATCCAACTTTTTAAAATCAGAGTGCCTTCCATTCAATAATCTAAATTAGCAGGTTTTTTGTAGTTGAAGATGCTAATTTCAAATAACAGACTGTAGTGGTAATTTTTATACGATAGATGGAGTAGATGAAAGCATAGAGTTGATAGTTCCGTTAGAGTACGGCAGTGTGAAGATTGTATATAGATATTAGACAAGCGAGCTAGGACAACTTTTAAGGAAGGTATAAATCGGTTTTTTTCATCTCTCTTTACCAAACTCCCCCTTTGGAGAGGGATGGTGAGGGGTATCCCCCCCCCCCCCCCCACCACTGGCCAGTGTCTAATATCTATATACAATCTTCACACTGCCGTACTCTAACGGAACTATCAACTCTATGCTTTCATCTACTCCATCTATCGTATAAAAATTACCACTACAGTCTGTTATTTGAAATTAGCATCTTCAACTATGTAAATCGTTGACTTCACGTAGAATTAATACTAAAAACATATAGTCAAAGGTTTTTTGTGTCAAACACAAACATCACAAATTTTTCTTGTTACTTACACATACAAAATATCATCGTAATATCTATGATCCCATAATTCCATACAACATTGTTTTAGTCTAAATGAATGGAAGGCATCCTATTTAAAATGAATAAATAGATAAAAAAAAAAAGTTTTTACACGTATATTTTCTTAAGAATCACAGGTAAAAAAAAACTACGAATGTCAAATAATCTGGAATCAAGCCAAAACAATCATGAAAATTTAAATATAAGGTAGCTATTTTAATTGTTTACACAGTTTAAAATATTTTGTAATTCGTGTATTTCCATGCACATAAAAAGGTCATGCATGTTCATGTAAAATTAAATTAAATATCCGAACCATAACCCAGGATGGGGTAAAAGTCTCTCTTGTATGTAGTAAGTCAAGAGTTATTTCAATCAAAGGATTAACGATTCCCCGATCCGAACTGTGTGCTGCATTTTTGCTTATCAGATTGGCCATGAAGGTTCATCCGGCAATCAAGATGAATTTCCACTCAATCCATTATTGGTCGGGTCGGATAGTCAGATCGTTCTTGCATGGCTAAAGAAGCCCCTATCTCAACTTGCAGAAATTGTTGATCATTCTGTTGATGCTAATGGAATTACATCAAGTCGTCCAAAAACCCAGCTGATGTTGTCAGTCGTGGTCAACCCTCCCAACTTCTTGCTTCGAATGAGCTTTGGTGGAACGGACCTCCAATTCTTCGAAGTCATAGCTATCAGATTGATGAGCCTAATCCGCTTTCCGATGATAAATTACCGGAATTGAAAACAGTAACCGTGTCTACTACAGTCTTTGTCCCTGAAATCCTTCCAGTTATGACTGCCTTTAGTTCATTCCGAAAGCTTCAGCGAGTGATTGGATACTTCAGGAGATTTGTTGTGAATGCAAGGTCTCCCAAGTCGGAACGTATCACTTCGGAATACCTGACTGTGCGAGAGTTGAAAGAGTCATTGAATGTGATTGTTAAGTATGTTCAAAGAGTTGAGTTTTCTGACGAAATTTGTCGGCTTGAATCAGGTGAACCTCAGGTAGACTCAGTAGTCTGAATGTTATTATGAATCATGGTGTGTTGAGAGTGGGTGGAAGACTGAAGCATTCTTGTTTGCCATATGGTTCAAAGCACCAAGCCGTACTCCCTGACAAAAACCCAATTGTCGGATCGTTGTTAAGAGCAATGCACTGCGAAATGTTGCACATTGGTCCGTCTAGTCTCATTTCATTGGTCCGCCAGAGATTCTGGCTTCTAAATGCTTATTATGTAGTCAGGAAAGTCATCCGGTCTTGTGTTCCTAGGGTTATTTACATAAAACAAAAACTACTGCTACTACTTCTACTAATACTACTTCTACACTACGTTCGCTCCAATCGCGAACAAAATTGGTGTTTGAATTTACACGACTTAAAATTTACATGCATGTAAAATTAAACGTCACTTGAATTTTACAGGCTTTAGATGGGCTCATCTTGTAATTTCACAGAACATTTAAAATTACACGCATTTTATTTCGCTTATACTTATTTGAATGAGATTATTTACCATGAAATTGGATTATTCCGGTGATAATTCCGCGAACATGGCATTCGTTTTTTATATTATTTAGTCGAATTGATAAAACAAATGTGTACCGTTTAGGCACTTTACTTTGCGAAGATCATAATGCGCAATCACATACACACTTAGAAGTACCTAATTTTACACGTGAAAAATTGAAAAAAGTTTCCGGAGGGGGCACTTCTGAAAGATGGGGGAGGCTCCAGAAGGGAGTTCCTTTAATATGGAATACTTATGTGATACAGAGTGATATCTAAGGTACGGTTATTGTCTTTTGATGCTGACTCATTTTACGTTGGGAGGTGGAGGGTTTCCTGGGATGGCTGGCGGAGAGGAAGTCCTTTTCTTAGCTGTGGTCGTGGTTGTTGAAAGTGTTAGGGCTGGTCGTGGTGTGGTGTACAGGTAGTTGTCCTCATGGTCGGAGTTGAAGGTATAACAGCATGCATCATTGAGGGGTCCGCTTTCGGAGGTAATGTCTCGGTCGGCTGTAGTCATATTCGAGAAAACAGGCCTGCCTCGCGGAGCAAAGCCAGTAGTGCCGCTGAGCGGCAAGGATCTTCACTGAGGGCGTCTCGGATGCTGCCGGGGATGTCGAACAGGTTTCTAGCTCCTTGGTATTGCGGGCAGTGGCATATAAAGTGTTCCACCGAATGGTGGATCTGGCACAGTGAACAGGGTCGGTGGAATTCGCCATTTCCCGTTATGTTGTGTGAGATACGGGTGTGTCCTGACCTAAGCCTGGAGATCACCACCACCACTGGTCAGGTAGGTCCTCCCAGCGGCGTGTCTCATCTTTAATTTTACGGATGAACATATTTCGTGAGTCCAGCCAGTCCTGCCTCCAAGACTCCCATGTAATTTTGGAGAGCCAGGTTTTCAGATCCGGGCCTGGAACTTTTCTTGTTAATTTGCTCATTTGTCGACCTGAAGATGCGAGGTGGTCAGCTTCGACGTTACCCTGGATCCCACAGTGACCGGGTATCCAGGCGACGGTGGTGTTGGGTGGAGCAGACCGGATGATGGTTTGGATCCACGGGTGTGTGGGGTGCTCGGCGTCAAGGGCGGCTACCACGCTGGCGGAATCCGTGAACAGGACGATGGGTTTGCTAGACGGTGTGGTGATGGCGACGTAGGCGGCGGCTGCCTCGGCGGAGAAAATGTCACATTGGTCAGGGAGACTGGGGCACACACTTACATCGGGGCCGGAAAACCCAATTCCAGCTCTCCCTTGTGCAATCGAGCCGTCGGAATAGCGGATCGTATGGTTGTTGTAGCGACGGTATATTAGGTCCCTGTGTAACGGCGAGAGGGTTAGAGCCTACCTTAAAGGTATGCTTGATAGTTG